AGCAGACGCGCTGGAAAACTGCAAGACGTGAATGGTGAAGGCTTATGTTGAAGGCTTATATGTTGGACTGCTGCTTGCTGCTGAAGCCTCCCGCCGGCAGGCTATGTCGCAGCACATTGGGCACGGCACCGCACTCTGTTGTCGCGCCGTAGACATCTTGGTTGTAGCAGGCATTGGAAAACTGCTAGATGTCCATGCTGAGAAGGAAGCTCGACTTGTGAGATGCGGTGAGCCTGCTTGCGGCTTCGGGGGAGAGGCGCTGTGCCCTCCCCAAAGCAGCGCTCGCATCAGCTCTTGCATACGGCGCCGGAAAGAAGCTGTCGCAGAAAACACCGGTCAAACAAGCTGTCGCAGAAAACACCGGTCAACCGTTGCAAAAAACACCGGGCAACCGTCGCAAAAAACACCGGGTGGCGGTCACTGACGCAAAAAACACCGGTCACAGCTTGGAAAAACACCATACAACATAACTGTCTGGAAATACCCTGATTACTGTTGCAATTTACCCTAGTCCCGAGCTAATCGCACCTGATCAGCCTGAAGAGCTTGAGCTACCTCCGTTGGCTCAATTCGAGGAAAATTATGCCCAGATTGACGAGGACCGCCCACTACTCACTCTGGTCCAACTACGACGCCGAAAACGTGAATTAGAAAATGAGGTTGCACAACTGAAGCAACAACTTTTGGTTATGAACATAAAGTCCAAGGACTTATATACTAAGATGAACAAATATATCTATCGTACAGAGTTTGGTGCCACTCCTCCTACGAATGTGCCCGAGACCATACTACCAATGTTGCCTGCACGTTTCGATCTTTGACAATCTATAGAAACAAATTTAGAAAAGATCTAGTAACAAATAAAAATGAAAATTTCATTCCATCCTCCTTTTTTCCCAAAAGATAAGAATTTCGATCCATCCTCCTCTTCCACCAGAATAAATACCCCTCCATAATCTATTACTTGGTGGATCCGGATCGATCTTTCATAATCATTGGTTCCTTTCGTCGCGATCCCCTATTCCTTCTAAGATGGAAGGGTTTATTTCGATTCAAATTTCGAAAGCCATAACTACCTTAATGTAAAAGAACGCGCCTACCGAACACGTATTAAAAGCACACTTCGTAAAATTATTTACAACTAGTGTTATTTTCAAGAATAATCAATAAAATATATACGATTGTTGCATTTATGTTATTCCTATTCCTATATTTCCTTCTTAACAAATTATTTAGGAATAAATCATAAATAATAATTCAAATTTTTATTCATTTTATATATGCATAGATATATATAATAGCGCTGTTTTCGTTTACAAGCCAAACGAAAAATTCGTTTAATCCGACGTATCCAAATTAAAAATATCACATAACCCTAGCCGAATATCGCTCAAATTTCATTAATCTTCGTTCAAATTAAAACGATCGGTGCAATTCGATATATACCCCAAAATCAAAATCGGGTTTTCCAAATCATTAAATTTTCAAAATTAATGCAACAAAGATCAATACACAATCAATATTTATACCCCATCGAAATAATAATTACCAATTAACACAAAAAATTACCATATAACTGCCGACCCTCGTAAAATAGCCGCAACTACGTTTAACGATTGGTCTTCATATATTTTATAGATTTAACAAAATAAAAAATTGATAATTCAATATATTAATTCCTGACGCTTCGCGCGCCGCCCACACCTTCTTTTTCCCGAATGCGTAGCGAAGGGTTCTCGTTTAACTCTGGGGGTCTGGCGGTAGAGTCTTGTTCGCGATCCGTTGTTTCTATGTTCGCAACCGTCCTCAACCGTCCGCAACCGTTCGCAACCGTCCGCAACCGTTCGCAACCGTCCGCAACCGTTCGCAACCGTCCGCAACCGTTCGCAGTAGGACAAAGAAAAGGCGCTGCCATTGGGGGAAGCTTTTGCAAGTGACATTTCATGGATGTGTCACGTGTCAGTTTGCGACGCTATTCCATTGTGATTTGCGTGAAAATGACATGTCGCGCAAGAAGCGTGATGCATTTCGCTGCACAGGCGCAGTGGTTTGAGAGATCCGCAGTTTACTGCGCAGTTCCATTGGGGTTAGCGTTTGGAGAGTCGTGTTTTTGGGGTGTTGGATGTGGCCGTGCCATTGGGATTTGCATTTCAGGGTGTGGCATCGGCGAGGTGATCGCCATTCAATTTCATCCCAACGAACGCTTTGGCGTGCCTGGCGCGCCCGCTGGTGGTGGAGTCCCCGCGGGGTCGCATCCGTGCTGGGAGACTGGATATGTTCGCCTGGACTATCTCCCTGCCTCGATTACCTTGCGTATTGAGGCCTGGGGCTGCAGCTAAATATAATCTGAACGTCATTTATACGCGGATGTGACTGAAGACAGGTGTCCTGTACAGTTTGTGAACATCGTTTTTTTAGACAGTTTAATCTAACATTCTGTAGGACCCATGCATCTCTGAGTCACACCTGACTTGCAACAGGATCAGCAAGAAGATTATACCGGACAGCTTCTGCCTGGAGTGTGGCATTTAAAACCGAGTGAAGATTCTTTCCGCGTGCAATTGCATCGCAAAGGAGCCTTGATGTTGGATGTTACTCGGATACAGTATCCTCTTGCTCCACTGGCTGCTGGAACCTACAACAATGCCCAAGGCAAGACCATCAAAGGAGTTGGGCGGCACACGATTGATTTTCGTATTCCTTATTTCGCAATTTGCCGGAGACGCCAGAAGGCGATATTGATTTTTCGATCTTTGAGACTGGTCCACCTGCGTATATTGCCGAGTTTTTGGATCGACTGGAGGACTCTGATGTGCTTGTTGGCTTGTTTAATGTGCTATATTGGATATCCACGGACTGATTCACCCTGCTCGAGTGATAAGATATGAAATAGCATTCCATCCGCAGGCGCGTGTGTCGATCTTCTATCGTTGTTTGCAGGAGGTTGCGCTTTTGTCTCGCTCCGCCATCGAAGAAGCTCGCAGACACCTGCCTGGTTTTCCAGCCGCGGAACACGCCAGAGGGTCGCTTTCAGTACGTCCCAGGGGCTTGGACGGCGGCTACGAGGGCGAGTGTAGTGACTGAGTTCAGGGGAACGAAAAGGAAGTACGACCCCACCAAGTGGCGTCAGCTGCGAACGGATTTCTGCGACATCTGGTCTCTTGTGCTGGAAGAGGTGGCCGTGGCCGCTCCCACGGCACAATTTTTCCGAGAACACGGGGCTCTGCGTGTCTTTGCCGCCGAAGCTGGTGGAGGCGGCGATTGCTCCTTCTTGTCCACTGCGGTCGTCCTGATGCAGGCGCGAGCAGTCCACCCACGACTCTTGAATCTTTTCACTTCCGATGAGGTGGTAGACTGGGACGACCGAACTACGGTTGCGGCTGCTCTCCGCAAGATTGTCGGGCGACACATGCGCGCCAAGACGCCAAAAGCATTCTTGAACTTCGTCGTAGGGTGTTTGGTGCGCGAAACTGCGAGGACATGGCTGGACGACTGGTCCATGATCGCACTCTTGCGTGGCTCTCCTTTTGCTTTCTTGAAAGACGCCAACGATGTCCTCGGAGCAGAAGTTACAGACGACGCCATGCTAGTTCGCTACAAAGAGGGCGACAGCTCCGTGACGAGGAGCAAGAGAGTGCGTTCTGGCACTGCGGCCCTGGTGTCTTTGCGGGATGCCGTGAGCACTGCTCTCGAAACTTATGGGAATACTCATTGGGCAACGGACGTCGACTTTGTTGCGTTGGCCACGGAGCTCAATCTTGGCTTCATCATTGCTGGAAATACTTGGACCCAGACGTCTGTTGTTCGAGGCTCCGGTGACACATCTAACAAACCTGTGTGCGATAAATCCATACGAATGTTGGACTAATGACATAACCTATAGGATAGTTTTCTTCACTTCCGTTGTGTGTGTCTCATATACTTCTTGTCGATGCAGGCGAACCACAACAACGCACGGTCTTGCACTCCTATTTACAAGAATATCAGACGCCGCAATTGTGGATTTCTCTGTATTATGTGGACGGTTATCATTTTCAAGTGCTTATTTTCGAGATTTTGGGACAATGCCATTGTTTCTTTCGTGCCGCGGATCTGCCAGAACCTTTACGCCAATGCTTGATTTGAATGCAAAACAAAGATCCTTCATGATGAAGACAGAGCTTGGTGGTGAAGTCCCCAGCGCATGCTGCCTTGGTGGTGGAGTCCCCAGTGCATGATGTCCAACAGCGTGCCGGAGCGAAAGAGATTCTGACCGTCTGTGTATCTTTTTGTACACAGTGGTTTGACGTATGTGTTTGCATTCGGGTTCGTGGGCTCCATCTTGTTTCTTTCGGTCGTCTGGGGAAAGACTGCTGGAGTGGACAGGGGAGGTCGGGAGTGGTGTCCAAAGAGATGGCTTGTTTGGCCATGTTGCGGCTGAGTTACGCACAAGTTCGCTCGTTTTGTGGCCATGTTAAAGCCAATTCAGGCTCCAAGTTCGACCGTTTTGTGGCCTTGCCCCCGCTTGGTTAGTCCACATTACATCATGTCAAGGCTAGCCTGATCGTTTGGTGACCCTGTGTTGAGGCTACGTGTTTTTTTTCAATAATGCTGGTTATGCGTTTCTGGTCAGGAGGGTTTTTCAGCATCGTGGGTGTCCGTTTTTTGGCTTGTTTGGGTTCTTGCAGAAATAGTCCAAAAATGTACCTCCAATAATGCTGGTTATGGGTTGCTGGTCAGGAAGGGTTTTCAACATCGTGGGTGTCCGTTTTTTGGCTTGTTTGGGTTCTTGCAGAAATAGTCCAAAAATGTACCTCCAAAACGCTCTCCCCCATGGCCCTCGAGGCGTAAGACGTTTTTCCCCGAAACAAAAAAAGAGGCCCCCCCCCTAGCAGAGCTATGAACTGATTACGATGTGATGATTGACTGACGATGATTCCAGCTTGACCCGCCCCTAACACGCCCTGCACGGCAAGCGGTGTGGGCGGATTTATTACTATTATTACAGAATATTTTGACAATAATCGGCATCATTGACCTCGCATCGAGGATATTCCTCACGCGCAGACCTGCGATCCGGCTTACAAATTCTTTTGCAAATCGATGATGCAAAAGAGACAAAGGCAACAGATCGAAACATGTTTAAACCAGGGTCCTGGGCAGCAACTTGATCGGCGAATGACTCAGTCGCTTTGCTTGTCACTTGGAGAAGAATGATTTCAACGACACGCTGTCACCCTGCCTTGACTTTACAGGCCATCAGCCCGACTGCTGTACAAATTTCGTGGCCTGGCTTGGAGAGCTTTCACACAGCATGACCGCATGACCCAGTCGTTCGTAGAAAAGGACATGCGTTTGGCTAATTGCTGCTCTATTTGCATCTTTCAAGTATACCATTACTTTACACCGAACATCTTGCAGTGAAGCCTTTGTTGACCCTTGGTCTCGGCCAAAGCTCTGCATATACACTGACCCCTCAAGGTTTTGAACAAAATAAGACCCTTCTCCGCCAGTCAAGGACTTACCTAGCCACAACTCCCACGCAAATAAGACACCAAGCAGCACCTTGTCTTCATGATGTCATCATCTGTTGCATTTGTACGCCCCGCTTTTTCGATCCTTCAGGCCATGTGCTACAACTTTGTGAAGGTACTGTTTCTGTTTCAGGCCATAATGTGCTACCGGTCTATTTGGTGAATCCAGTGCTTGTTCCGGCAAGGACAAGGCGGCGTGGCTTGTAGGCAGCTCCTCTCGGTGTCAGTGTTCGACCTGCTGATCCTGAAGGGATTCAAAGGGCCTTCCTTGCAACTCATTTTGAACAACACTCATTAATCACGCTTCCAAGGCTAAGCATATCATGCAACCCCAACTTGCTCCAATGCCCCACTCGTTCCCAATTGCTCTTCGTCCTTGCGTCACGTGGGGCGAACCTGCGAGTCCAAAAAATGCGAATTCGCAGGAGCTTTCAACCACGTAGGACAGGATAACTCGCCTTAAAGTGGCCTAAGTACCTTCTGTTTTTCCTCTCACGCCGACATATGCCAACCAATCTACCCTACAGGAACTCAGGCGTGGCATTCTGCATGCCAAGGCGGTCTGAATGGGCCAATGGGCCAATGATGACTGATGAACTCGGTAGCTTGAATGCGTCAGGCGTGCAACGAACGCACCACCAAATGGTTGAGGCCAACAACCGACACAATCGGACACAGTGACAAATTGATGTCTGCTCTTGCGCACCAGGTGTTCTGCTTTGTCCCACAGCGCCAGTGTCGCGACTGAGACGAGGGGGGGGAAGCCTCAACACCTGGAACCTTTGCAAGACACAACATCTGAGTTTGAGCAAGCAAGTTATGGGAGTATCTGTTCTGTCGATAACTTTGTAAACATTGATTGGGAATTACCTATCATCCTATTGTTGAGCACTGGTTATACTTCAACCATGCTTAACCACACATGCGCCCTTCGTTTCAAGGATAGTAAACATGCAACGCATCGTCCCTCCCTTGATGAAGGTTTGTGAAGGTGTCTTTGTGATACTGGAAAGGTACTGCCTTGAGGATAGGAGAACATCAAAAAACGAGCAACACAAAACAGTCACCCTCTTGCGGCCATGTGGGGCTCATCTAGTATCTCAAAACCTTTGGATCAGGTCAATACCATTGTTCAAACTTTGGGGTGACTGGGCTCCAGTGCAAGCATGTGGGATCAACAACATTGTACGCTATATATATATATTGGTGAGACTCCTCATTGCTGACATCAAGGCAGAACTTCACCCTTCAACATGGGCTTGGATCCTTCTGCACCAATCCGCTTCTGGGACCCCCAAGCATCGGCTGTCTTTCACTCCTTGGCAAGCCGTCCACAGCAGCGGCGAGCATCTTCAAGTATTGGCGACACAACTAAGCACAACTAGTTCACCTGGGTATGGTTGAATGCTGTGGAACAGCCATCCTGCTCAATGAGCAGTTCAACACACATGGATTTTCAGCATTTCTTAAGTCGATTACTAAGAAGGCAAAGCCTTTCAACTTGCCCAAGAATTCCAGTTCCAAGACAATGCTGCGGGCCCGCGAGTCCCTACCATCAACAGCTTGTGTAGCAAACCGCCACCTGGCTAACATTCAATAACTTCTTCTTGTAAGCATCAGAAACGGCACATCACCAGGTGCATCTACTTGGCGCTAGTTACTTGGTATAATCATATAGTGGTACATGCCTGGCATGCCCAAAACTGGAGCCACCAACTAGGAAGGACCAAAGGCTCTGGGCTCGGCCAAGCAACTGCTTCTTCTCCGCGAATAGACAGTCTCTCTCCTTATCCTCAGGACAAAGAAGAGGTTAAAACCGCAACATCCTGTGTGTATTGTTGACTGATCAATTTATTACTGTAACGGCTTCTTTTGTTCATGCAGAACACATCTTTTGACATGACTTGGCGAGGGCGCAGTGTGATGTCTTGCACCGATCAATCACACCCATCCTTGAGTGGCTCTCGACTCGATTGCCTCACCGCAAAAGTCTCTGGGAGCATGCTGGTCCAGAAACACTATTGTGAACATGCAAAGCTTTCGCTCACAACACCTATTCACTTCAAACCCACGATTTTGGTCATCTCCCATTTCCAAAAAGACACGACTAGTAACAGGTGCCACGCTAGTAGTAACAAGTGCCACGCTAGTAGTAACAGGTGCCTTACTAGTAGAAACATGGAAAACATTGGACTCTCCCCAGCCTCAGGCGCCGTTCCGCGGCCGCACGGAGCTCGGCCATGCGACGGGGCGGCCTCAGGGAGGGGGGGAATGCCAATCGGCGAAACGGCAGGTAAACAAGGGCAAACATGGTGGATGATTCACATGATTCATCCACCATTCGGTTGACTTCTATAGTTCGCGAACACTTTCAAGTGGAAGGGCCGAGGTCTTAAAGTTGGTGTGGTTTGATGTTGCAAACACCGTTCGTAACAAGTGTCAGAGTCTGAAGTATCCGAGCCACGAATATTTGCAAATGTCGGTAGAGCAGAATTGAGAAGGCAGCCAACTAGCCATGACAAGCAACATAGGCAAACGACATGAGAGTGGCCGAACATCAACTTTGAGATCGTCATGACTGAATGGCATCCCAAACAAGCACGGAAGTCTGGGCGGTTTCAAGCGACCCATTGGCCAGTTAAAATGTGCCAAGTTGCTCTGGTGCTCCAAGAGAAATGCCCGCACTATGGGCACCATGCTCCGCAGGATCCTCAGCCAGTCAGACGTATTCACACAGCCTGCTTCCACCAACCACAGGCTTGGGGCACACATCTGTGGTGATCCTGATCTAAACAGTTTTTTGGGCTGTTGGCCACTTAGAAGCAGGCTAGGTCAGCATCCATCTTCACCATTTGAGCCAGCCTCCTCAGTTCGTGCGAAACTGACCACGCTATGAGGTAAGTTTCCCATAGTTTCCCCAATCATCTACGCACCACATGAATAGTGAGAGCGCTTCCTTCAAAAAGCGTGAGCTCTCCTGCGTCCTACCCAGGAGCGTCCTGTACCTACTAGCTACCTGGTACCTCAGTTCCTTACTTAATTAAGTAGGGAGGGGGAGCGGGCAAAAAATCAGAAGGTCTTTTCTATTGCGCGTTTTCGGACGTCTGGCGATTGCAAATGCGTTCAGCTACATGCGTGCAACCTTGGTGGAGCTTATCGAAACATCTTCTCACAATAGCAGCGTTGCCCAATTTCAGGTCTTCCATCTGAGAGGACCCTGCGCAAAACCAAAACGGAAGCATTGCATGAAGCCAACCACAAAAGGACACGTGCTTTGTACGAGGAAGTCTCAACTTGTGAATAAAACTGGGGCCGACACAGCTTGGAGACATCTTGACTTAAAAGCAATCAACAACTGATCAGTTTCAAGCTAAGCTCCCAACAAAACCACTGGAATCGTATGAACTTGCCATGGTCAAACATTAATTTGTAAGCACACCGGCACACCGATGCCTGACATTGGAGTTTCATCAGAACATCCAGGACTCCCCACTGCAAGACCTCTGCATCCTCATCAGAGTCTTCCTGGAACAAGCAAATGAATCAAATGAATCAATTCTGTAGGTTGTTCACACCTAGGATGAGTAGATCCGACATATGGAACTGCTTTCTCAAATTCCCTGAACACCTGATGCACCGGGAGGCTCAGCTTGCTCAAGCAAGTCCACCCAAAGGTTCTTGGCAGGTGAGTACATTTTACAACACGGGTGACGTGAGATTCGCATTTTTGTGGTGGATTTGCAGGTTGTGGTGCAGTAGGCACCTCATACACCAGCGAAATCGTTACCCTGCAGCCCGCCTCTGGAGGAAGCCTGGCATCGAAGGTCTGTGATTTAGTTCCCAAGCCTTCTGTTGTGGGTTCCAAAGTTGGGACAAAGAAGGAGGCTTGAGCATACTGTTTGTAATTTCAGTCTGGCTCGAGTTGGTCATTTCAGGACCTCAGTCACGATCGAGGTATTGGTGTATAGAACAACCCCGACCAACTTCAGCACGGGAGGCTTTTGACACTCCAGCCATTTTACCTTCACGGGGAACGGAGGGCACAAATGAGACTGGTTGAGGTCCCTTAAGCCGTCCCTTTGCTGTCGTTCATACCTCAAGATACGAGTATACCTTTCTCGAACCTTCGCCTTGCTTGGGATTGAAAGAACACCTTTGGGTGGAGAGCACCTCCAGCCGTCTTGTCACGATAACTGGAGGAGCACTGTCCAAATGGATGGAGAACCAAGTAAAAGCTAAGAGAAACATTTCAACCGCCACCTGCTATACCACTAGCAGTAAGGCCAGGAGCTACTAGTAGCTTCTTGTTAGTACTAGCGATGCCCTTTTCTACTAGTAGCCAAATTGCTATCCAGGGCATTTTGGATGTCTTTCCGGACCACTCCGTCGCCGCAGGAATACCATTTTGCTCATGGCGCTCGGAGGTTACGAGGGTCAGGGAGCAAGCGATCCTGAGTGAACCAGGTGTCACACCTCTGTGAGGTGCAAGGACAGAACTTTATACTGGGCCAAGTAGATCTTCCTATTTTCTCTTGACAAACAGGCTTTTATTTAATGTAGTCCCTTGATTAATCAACCCCCCCCCCCGGCCCCCCCCCCCCCCCAACAACCAAGGCCTCCAAAATAATGTATAAGAAAATCAATCAATTGATAATTAAATAAGGAATCCTTAGCTAGCTACCTCTGGAGCTACTCTGGCAATATTAAAATAAAAGGAATCAAGAAACCTAACTTTGAAGACATCTGGAATATTAATTACAATAAAAGGGAATGAATCAGTGGAAATAGAACTAACTTTTTAAAATTCAATGGAAATCTGAATCCAAAGACCTGCAATTTCAATGGTAAGTAAAGCAAATCAAAAGGCAAAGAAAAGGAATAATGATTTAAAGCCTCAAATCTCTAGACATTATTCTAGGGGCCCCCCCCTAAATAATGTCGGAAAGCTGCTTGCTGGACTACCCCCTTTGCTTGAATGATTTTTTTTGTTTTTCAATACTTTTGAATAAGGGATTTTATAAAGAAAGTGCTCACTGACTTTTGGAGGAAAAGTAAATAAGGAATAGAGGGTGAGTAAAGTAAAGCAAAAGGCAAAGAAAAGGAATAAAGATTTAAAGCCTCAAATCTCTAGACATTATTCTAGGGGCCCCCCCTAAATAATGTCGGAAAGCTGCTTGCTGGACTACCCCCTTTGCTTGAATGATTTTTTTGTTTTTCAATACTTTTGAATAAGGGATTTTATAAAGAAAGTGCGCACTGACTTTTGGAAACTTTTGGAAAGCTTCAAAACTAAAGAGCTTAGGAAAAGTTAATAAGGAATAGAGGGTGAGTAAAGCAAATCAAAAGGGAAAAAGTAAACTATAACAATAAAACATATTCACCTACAACTATCCCTGCCAAAAAAAAGACATTATTCTGGGGGCCTTTATTAATCAGTGCAGGAAAAAAACGACATTATTCTAGGGGGCTTTATTAATCAAAGGACCACATTACACTCCCTGGAATAATCCGCCGACCCCACACCGTGGGGTGAGGCGTGACTGTCGATGTTAGCCTTAGCCTTAGGCCTTAGCCTTAGCCTTAGACCTTAGACCTAGACCTTACCTCCCCTACCCCTCCGGACCCTTGTTGCAGTTACGAAAATCGCGCCCTGAAAGCTACCTGAGCGATCTGCCATCCCAATTGATTTACATCTTGGGGCACCCTCTCGACCCGCGCGGGAAAATAAGCACGGTCCAAAATGGTCCTGGGCTCGAATCCCGGGCTGGTCGCGGCATGGTCCCGGCCAATGCCCTTGCTTTTTCGTAGATTTTGTCACGTTTTCTGTTGGTTTATGAGATTTTCAAAGGCTTTTCTGGCATTTTCCTAGGAATGCTCTAGGCTTTGTCTTTTTGGGTACCTGCTTTGGTGGTGCTGGGTTGGGTCTAAATTGGTAAACCTGGGAGGTACCCAAAAAGTCGACTTTTTGGGTACCTGCTTTGGTGGTGAAGGGTTGGGTCTAAATTCTTGGGCAATGATCGGGGTTCATGCAAGAGCTGACGTCCGATGGTAAATCTGGGAGGTACCCAAAAAGTCGACTTTTTGGGTACCTGCTTTGGTGGTGCTGGGTTGGGTCTGCACTCTTAAGGCTAAGGCTAAGGCTTAAGGCTAAGGCTAACATAGAGCAAGGCTAGCGCTAAGGTTCTATCCCTTGGGGGTCGGCGGCTGCAGGCGGTAGCCTGGTAAACCGGCCAGGGGCCCAAGGGGCCCCGCCCTGGCCGTGTCATTGCCGTAGGCATCTCTCCTCTCCGAAGGAGAGAGTGGAGTCCCCCCCCTGCCGCCGACCTACCGCCGACCTACCGAAGCTACCGCGTTTTACAGTGTTTTCTGCTTCTTGCATTTTTCCGGCTTTGTGGCTCAAGATGGGTCAACATGGCGCAACATAAGCCCAAAAAAGTGCCCAAGTTGGGCCAACATGGCCCCAAGATGGGCCAACATAGGGTCAAGATGGGCCAACATAGCCCCCAAGCTGGGTCAAGATAACCCCAAGATGGGCCAACATAGCCCCAAGATGGGCCAACATAGCCTCCAAGATGGGCCAACCTAGCCCCAAGATGGTCGCCGAAAACCTGGTTTTCCATTGGTTTTCTATCACGACTGCAACAAGCCCTTTGCTTGGGCCCCTGGCCGGCTGTCGGGCGTAAGCCCTTAAATAATGGAAGTGGACACATGCCCCTTTGGATGACCCTTTTCCACTACAAACAACTGATTTTCATTGGTTTTCGAAATTCATTCTTATTTCGGGAGTATATGTTTTCTGAGGCCACGGACCGAGCGAGCCTTTTGCTTACTGTAGATCTCCTGCAAGTTTGAGGTTCAGAAAAGCACCTCTCAGCAGTAGACAAGTCAAGGAACCGCTCAGCAGTATCAATCATCCGACACAGTTCCGCAACAAGTGCAAAGGAAGCAAACCTTCCAATGTTCCAGGCAAATCTCAAAGAGTTTCTCCCTGTATGCTTGTATTGCCCCTGAACTGCAAGCAAGTGCTTTCGCAGCCTACCTAGAACATCCAAAGTGCTATGCGAAACCTGACTTTGAATACGATGCATCTCGGATCTCCTGCACCTCTACCAACAAGGCTTCCTGGTGATGGTTCCGTTAAACGACACATACAAGCACCAATGGCGTCCATTGTGCCCAAGTCTCGGTGAAAACACACAGCGCACTCTCTCGTCCAGTACGCAACCCTGTCAAATCAAATCCATGTAGTGCTCAAAAGGCCAAAGCGTCATGTAATGTCATGTACCTTTTTTTTCAGGTCCTTCTCGTCTTTTAGCCTTTGAACGTCGTCTCGCAAAGATCGAAGTGGGGCACTGGTTCCTGGACATGCAGGTCCGTGGGAGATGTCACGAGGTAAGAATCGTTTCTTTGGTTCAAGTTGTGGCTGTCAAGATCTTGCGAGAGGCAGAGTTCGGATCTTACAATATGGATCTTGACCCATCTGTCTACCAGAAGGCTGTGGAGTGAATTGGAGACCCACGGATGCCTTGACCCCTGGGGTGGCAAGGTTGGCATCCTGTAAGCTATTAAAAGACCTCAATGCAGTTGTCTTGCGCAGTTTCGCTTTTTAAATGCTTTTGCAACTTGGCAAGTTCCAGGCAGTCCATCTGTTGGATCCTAGTCGATTGACAAATCTTCAAGTGATAGTCTCCAGGTCCAAACGTGCCTTAGGCCTTCCTTGATGGTTTTCCTTGTGAGGTCTTTCTTCCCGCCAAAGCTGCCAGTCTTTTCTTTCTGAATCATAACACTAAGTCTTGGCTGTGCGGTGCTGGGCTGATGCTCATGGGGTCAGGTGGCCTCCAGAACAGTACTCCAGGCTCAGTAGATCAACAAATGATGTGGACTTCAAAGGCACTTCCTTCACATCCTGTCATCCCAGAGGGCACCGCAACAGCCCTGGATCGCCTGCAAGCTGAACGATCGAGGAAGCAGCCCAAGAGGCTCACTTCAGAAGCCGGCGAGAACTTCCAGCCATTCCGATGAAAAGCTGCATGAGGAACAGAAACTCCAAGAAACTCAGCATGGATACATATATACACACACATATACTCCATATATATATGATATGTATTGAAGACATTCCGCACAACATTCACCCCAACGTTCTTTTCAGATGCGACATGGTGCCCTAACCCCGGCTTCCAAAAGGATATTACATATGATACACATGCATATTGTATCATATTATATCTGAACACGATTGGGGTGGCTGGGCCGTCTGCCTTGGCAGTGCCCTCTGGAGCTCAACAAACCTTCTTCCGATCCAGCTTACTTCCGTGCTGCATGATGCAGTATCTTTCGATGAACGATACTGGAGCATGTGTTTAGTTTACAATCCAAATCAATTGCTGGATCTCGCACTGACAAGTCGCCGAAAAATTTCAGCTCTCTCGAGGCGCCCAATCGACGTCACACGCTCTCCACGAACGTCGGCTGGAGACAGTATGTTCAATGAATGGATGAGACAGGTCAGCGCTTCTATAAAAGACACGTTGCAGTATGCTCATGTATTTTCAATAAGGTCTCCAGGGATAAAGGTCTTGGGACTTCCAACCAAAGAAGCTTGTAATATCTAGTTACTAGTAGCTTCTTGTTACTAGTAATGGCCTCCAACCTAGTAGCTTCATGTAGCTTCTAGTTATCTTGCTAGTGACCTCTTCACCATCTGCGAAGGGTTTGCGCACGACCACGCAGGATCTCTCAGGATCTCTCCACGTCAAGCTACGCTGGAGCTGGGCAAGGCCAAACCGGTGGCAAAGGTGTTCCAAAACACAGGGTGAGAGATGGGTCCAGGCAGGTGGGAAAGGGTTGAAGGCAACCTCTCCTGCCAGGTAGGGGGCTTGAGTGGGGATTAAGGAACTTAAGGAGACTTAAGTGGTGGCTTTGAAGGAAGACTCAAGAGAAACTTGAGGAACTCCTTTTGGTTGAAGGCTTAAGAGGGCTTAAGGTGACTTCAGCAAGTGAGAAAAAATACGAAATGTTGCCAGTTTTCCAGTGAAGTGAGAAATGGCTTGGTCAAAGCTGTTCTTCGTGTCTCGACCCCTTACTGCTAGAAGTCCCGAGGTCTACTGAACTAACCTTTCTACTACAAGCAAAACCGCTTTCTCTCTGCCGCTTGTATTCTTTCGCCTGCCATGAAGAAAGGTCGTGCAAACGTGAATATGGCTGTTTGCCTGGTAGTAAGGTCAGGAGCCCCGTTTGCAGCGTCCTTGCTCCTAGCAGCGAAGCCAGGAGCCCCTAGTACCGTCCTTGCTCCTAGTAGTAAGGCCAGGAGCCCCTAGTAGCAACACAAGCCCCTGTTCCATTCCGCGATTGTTGGAGGGTGAGAGTCATTGACTCTGAAGTGGTTACTCAATCGAACACTGCCGCAGGCCTCTTGCTGGGTTCCCCAATTATGAAACAGGTCAACTTTTCGATACCGCGCAGCAGTTGCTTTGCTCCAGGTGCCATGTCTATGTTCAAGGCTTGATTTGTTGTTTACTGTCAAAGCAGTCGGGCTGCTCTTCGCCTTTCCTTCAGAATTGCGATTCTCCTCTTGGACAATTCTACCATCTTGCCCTTGATTGTAGGAAAACACATGGAGCATCTTCATCATTGCAACCGGTGAGGCCTTCCGTGGCAGCTGCGAGAAGGCTTTAAAAATCGGGTGGATGCAGAAACAAGCCACAACATCTGGACCTTCCGTGAATGTCCAAACCTAGAGAAGTCTGGTGGGACAGGTATCTCCATATTCATTTGAGTGTCTGGAGTCTTTGAGCCATAAAAGCAGGGCCTTCCACCATCATAAACTTTTGTCAACTCATTCCCAACGCCCACAGGTCAAAAAAAAGGGTTTACATTTCCTTGCATGCTGATGTACCAAGCGCATGGTCTCATGCTTACACTTGCTACATACAGTGACAAACCCAACATGACCGTTGGTAGAGGCAACAAAGTCGTGGTTATGGTCCATGCCAAACGGTTTTGCACGTACTGCAGTAGGTGGTTCGAGGATGTTCTGCAGGCCAACTGGTCAATCACAAGGGCAATGTTGCTCCTGCTAGACCATTCATTAAACACTCGCCAGCATCTTAAGCAGCCGGAAGATATATCACAGATTTTTGTGCATGTACGGTCAAACATGAGTTCAACATATAACCATATTGCAACCCCATCTCCTTCGAACATTTGGCAAACTCATGGTAGAAAATAATCTGCGATGCAATGAGGCCCGAACACCAGAGCAAATCTGTCCAAGCCTTTTAGGGCCTCTCAGAAAACAAGGTGTTCTGGTTGGAAATCAGTTTTCAGTCTTCAGTGGCCCATGGCAGTCGATCTGATGATAAACCACCTAGCCTAGAGCAGGGGTATCCACTGCGTGCCTTTGTTGCTTTTTCACGTGCGGGGACATCTGACCGTGCACTCGTGTCGCTTCTTTGGTTCCGCTGCTGTCAAAACATTGTGCAATCCTACATTTTCCACCTCTTCGCATGTTTTGGAGACAATGTTGTTCCTTGCTGTTACACAGATCTATTTTTTGGTCAAATCAGTGTGGGGGGCCTCTGGTGTCCCATGTGCTTGTGACCGAAGAACATCTGAAAATTTGTGCGTGTGAAACTCCAAACACCATCTGGTTGTTGCAATCGCACTTCCAAGCAAAATTTGAGACAGCCTGGCAACACTAAGGCAAACTTTGTTGATTTGATAAAATATGTGTTCAACAACCTATGAGATACTTACTAGCTGATTTCCACTTCAGCCTTCGTAGCAGGCTCATCACACGAGATCTGGATCTGTCGGTTTGGAGACTTCTTCCGCGGGAAAATAGGAGCATGATGGGGTCTCAAGCCCTGAGTTCAATTTGGGAGAATGCCTCTTTCCTGCTCTTTTGAAGGTCGGCAAGTTCAAGCATCGATGTTCATTACAAGTTGCGAAGTATACACTGCGGACCGGTGATGGAAACAAATTGAGAAGGTTGCGTGTGAGGACTTCCCAACAAATTTTTGGGCATCGTGCACAAACAATGGACCACGAACTGCATGATGATCTTCTTCGTCGTAGACTGTATTCCCAGGAGCTGCATCTTTATTGGAATCAGATCACACCCTCTGATGTCCCTTTGAGTGTGTATGTTCACTCACTCAATCATTCATTCCATTCCATTCATTCATTTGATTCCACTCAGTCATTCATTCATTCATTCACTCATTCATTCTTTTCATTTCATTTCATTTCATTTCCTTTCCTTTCCTGTCCTGTCCTGTCCTGTCCTTTCCTTTCCTTTCCTTTCCTTTCCTTCCCTTCCCTTCCCTTCCCTTCCTTTCCTTTCCTTTCATTCATGCATACACACGTACATACCTACATACATACATACGTACATACATACATACATACATACATCCAAGTGAAAGAAATTTAAACTGTCCAGCCGGGGACTTCCGCACCTCAAGGAGGACCTGGATTGACCACGCAAGCAACCTGAAAGGAACATCATTCAAGCAATCTAGCCGTCGCTTCCGCGCCGATGGAGGAAAACACTGTACAAGCTGCTTTCTCGTGTGAGTACCGTATATGACTCCAAAGCCTGGGACCGGAGCTCGCATACGGTCGAAATGCCACCTGACAACCTTTTCCAACAAAACACAGTCATCAATGATGACTCCAATGCTCGTCAAGCCCTTGGAACGTCTGCCAGCAGAGAAACCCTGCCCGGGCATCGGATAGCCACAAAAGGTAGCCCCCATCTGGCCGAAGCTTCCTCACCAAACAATGGGCGAGCCAACGGATTGCAGGTGGCCCTCTCCGGCCCAACTGTAAATTAGGCAGAAAAAATCACGCAAATCTTCTCCTGAGGCAGCCAGCACTGGGTCAGGTTCCAAGAGCAAGTCTGTGATGCCGACGCCCCGCCCTTGCACCACTTGCCTCACGCTCTCTAACCTAGGTTTGCCAGTCTGGCATCCAGAGACTTTGGAATTGCAAGCAGCGCAGGCCAGAAGAAAGGTATATCTTCCACAGCAAAGCCAGTTTTTTTCTTTTGTGGCTTGAATGCGCTCTGCGTCAATGGCCTTTGGTGGACTAGCATTCAACTTCGACATGGTTTCGATGGCCTACGAAAATTGTCAAAAGCAAATTCCGCTTTTGTAGCGGAGTCTTTGCAGCGCTGCGTCCCATGAGGTCTGCGCCGATGAACTCTAAGCTGTTGCTGCCCCAATTGGTGTTCTTCAATTGCTTTGAAGACAGCTTGGCCCCGAATTGAAGGCTTGTGGGGGGCCCGCTTGGTGAGCCCAACGCAAAACAGCCAAGCACAAATGATCTGTGGTGACAGAAGGGGCTTGGACAACGGCATCCTTCTGCAGGACGCGTGGGTTCTGGAGAGTGCTCCGCAAAAAACAGGTCTGCGGGGGCAATTGCTTTGGAACAGCCAACGAGGCATCGAGCTCACAACGGCTGCAACTCGCAAAAATGATACCTTGACGCACGTCCCCCTTCTTGAAGGGGCACGCTTTCAGGTTACGCTTTGGTGATGACTTCTCTTCTCCCCTCACATCCTCCCTCTTTCCCAACCATTGCAACCTCAAGGCTAGCACAACTTCCAGCAAAGGAAAAAGCATCAGTCCAGCACAAATGAAGGACAAAGGATCAAAGCGCCGCCCGTATTTCTCTACAAGTGATCACACAAAAATCTTCAAGTGAAGCGACATGGCGACAGTGGACCCAGCTCTACCCGATCCAGGGTGGAAATCGCTAGGGCTGACCCTGCGATGGCTCGGGCCAGATCCATTCTTGCCTGGCAAGACTCAGAAGACATGGTGAGCATACAATATGCAAGGTTCTATCAAAGCCAAACACATCAGGGCTAAGTTGTTGAACAAGCGCAAGGGACATTCAAATTGCTTCCATCCCTGGAGAAACACAGATATACAAAGAGTGCGGACAGTGAAACTCTAGACTAAGTCTTTGAAACAGAAAGTTCACCCCACGCGCGGTGCTCCACAGATCCAGGTAGGACATCTTTACACGCAGGATGTACCGCTCGGCGAAAAATAAAGGGTTGGGAACGAATTGGAGCCAGTCGCCCTATTTTTTCATTGAATCTGAGAAGTCACTCTCAGAAGAGGCTTTCATAGCATGGTCATGCCTCCTATGACCAAGGAACTCCACTCCTCCCACAAACATCCGAGGACCAAAGTGTTCCCAACCACTTTCGCAGCCAAAGCATACCAACTGCTCACTTGCACTATGAGATGGTGAGTCCTGATGACCTTCCCAGCTTCTGCGATAGCATCACACCACCTTCTACATCCTTGTGAGGATAAGCAAACACGCCCATGCCAAGTTTGTTTACTTGTTCTTTTTGTTGCACATGCATTCAGCACTGACCAACTGAGCGCATGGGTGTCACGCGCGAGTATCTGTTGTTACACCAAAAAATAGCAGCATTGAGACAATCTGAAGGTGGATCAACATACTAGGTCAAAGGTAAAGCTTCAGCATAATCCCCTTCTGCAGTGAATGGCAAAGCGTCATATTCAGATTTGAAACCTATCCAGTAATCATCAAAGGTGGATACTTACGAAGCTGTTCAAAAGGATTAAACAGCTGAAAAAACACCTGCCGTTTTCATGGGTCAGCTCAAAGGTGAGTCGAGCGACTGGCTGCTCAGCATTTCCATGTGTCTTTGCGACTCACCCCCCCAACGAAACTCTCTGTGACCAGCAAAGCCCCAAGGGGCTGCAACTTGGCCGGTTCATGAAACGTTCCTCGGCAAAGCAAAATTGGACAGGTTCATTCTCCTTGATATCTTGTCAGCATGAAGGAGCTCCAATTGACACTGCTAAATTGCAAAAGTGAGACAAAGAGTTACAGTGGTTAGTGGTTCGAGGATTGTTCACATTTCCAACCATTGTGAGAAGGTCCATCAACAAAACCGTTGCATTGATGAAAGCTGGCGTTTCTCATCATTTCTTGCCAATGCTTTCTGAGCTTCACCAAGACAGAACGTGGCTTGCGAGCACTGATGGGCGCCTCCTGCATGAGCTGCATCGCGGCGCGGAGATTGCAAAAGGTGACCGGCTCAGCAAGGAGAAGCAGCACCTGCGGATTCACAGCGCGACTCCAGCGGATCGATTTGAGCTGCCTTAGGTTTCGCTTCATGTTTTAAGAAAAGCGACATAGATGATCCATCCAAGAAGCATACGGATCCTTGCTTTTGATGTGCAGATCATTCCATGCAGCACACTCGTTTTGGCGCAGGGGCTTCTGAACATTTGAAACGACCCACCTCGTCATGCGATCCATGGACCTGGATACAAGGTTGAATCCAAGATTTTGTGTTCTGTGAGTTCTGTGTTTGCTCTAGTAACAAGTGCCACGCTAGTAGTAACAAGTGCCTTACTAGTAGTAACAAGAAGCTATTAGAATACTTTGATGATGCCGAAACATCTTGCGCTCTGGGCCTGAGCTCCTACTGAAACATGCGCACGTCCCACACGTCCCAAAATCAGCAGTGTGACGATGCCAAATAATTCATAATGGTCTTGCGCCTATTCAAAAGCGGTGAGAACTGTTCACAAAGCCAAAGGCAAGCAACGACGTCATGCAGTGCAAATCACACAACCAAAGTAAATGTTATTCCTATGAAGAGTCTCAAACATTGACTCACCATATACGTGTCGCCTCGAAACCACCGACAACCCCTCAGCCCAATTGTGGGCCTCGCAAGCTAAGGAATCACCCAATCTATGACTTAGATTGACTTAGAAAGAAACGCACACATACACACAATCACGCTACTAGGGGCTCCTGGCCTTACTACTAGGAGCAAGAAGCTACTAGGGGCACCTGGCATCGCTACTAGGAGCAAGGACGCTACTAGGGGCTCCTGGCCTTAGTAGTAGGAGCAAGGACGCTACACGCCTGCACATCGCCACAAAGAGTTGAGCAAGGTACCATGTCAGTCTCAATTTTGCTGGAATCGCCAATCCATGGTCAGCTAGCTTATGTTCAACGTCTTTCATCCCTGTGAGCCGAGCCACATTCTTCTGCACGGCCATTTCCCATGCACTGCGGCCCAGCGAGCTGCGCTGCTGGACATTTGCGCCGTGCTGGAGCAACAAGCGCATCAAAGTGGCGTCGCCCAAGAGTGCAGCCAAATGCACTGGGTAGAAGGTCTCCTGGGTGGGATCGATATTCACTGGGGAAATGTTTTTTCAAGAAACAGTGGGCCAAAAGCATAGTCTGGAGATGTCTGGAGGTAGAATTGCTACAGGATCTGACTTTCCCACAATCTTTGGGGTATTTTTCTATCATTGGTTTGACGGGCTCAGCTGCTTTGAAAGTCAGGGTGCTGCAAGATCCTTTCGTTGTCGGATGCTGGTGGCCCAATCAGGATAGAGAATGCCTTTAGCCAAACGGGCGATGCTGTGGAGACAAAATTTGACTCACCACATTTGTGGCACACTGGCACACGAACACACTCTTCAGCACAAACTGTCATGTATACCTAGCACTGACTCTTCAGCCCTAAAATGTGTGGTTGGTAGAGCGGTGGACTATGTGGACTATGATGACTATGAACGTGCTTCCATCGAAGCCGTATGGCATGGGGAAGTGACGTTGATGTTTTGCATCTGCAGTGTCCCGAGCACACGCGGCCGATGCGATTCGTCACTGGTTCGTCCGTCCAACCTGTTCTTCGTTCATCCGTCCAATCTGTCCTTCCCTGGCTTCTTTTGTGGACGATTCACATGATCACAGCCATATGCATGGAGGAACTCCTGGAGTTCCTCTTGCTGCCTGAGCGTCCAAATCGGTTTGATTGATGATGTCTGAGTGCTCATGGCAAGTAAATGTAAAGTCAACCAAATCGAGACGTGGTTGCATCTATCCCGGGATCTGTTTCTTGTGGGGACAAAGCCTTCAGCTTAAATCCATGGCGCCGGACAGCAGCCAAAACTGGACGATGTCGCTTAGACCTCATATACTTTCAATTTCGCTTAATTTAATGCTTCCAGGGATTGGCGGAGATGGGCTCGTGGCGTGAAGTTTCCCGTGGCTGATTTGTTACTTCGCCCCCCTTGTCCATTGCAACCAACACACAGGCTATGTGCACAGCCTATGTGGCTGTGCGGTAGGTAGTGGAAAGCCGTGGATAGAAGAGCGCTCTCAATCCATCGATTTTCGGGAGCAAAAGGGAACCTAGCCATTGTCGTATTCCTGCAATGTGTTCCCACATTGACATGACGTGCGGAATACGTTGAGCATTCAATAGTGATGTGGCACTGATGTAGTCTCGAAGTCTGGCATCCTGAGTGCTGGCTCTGGGTGGCACTAGGACTTGAAAAAGTGCCCGCGTATAGCCGGCACATCGAGGCTGGATATTTGGGCGAGACATGGTCTGGCATGGTTGTTTTGCAGTCGCAGTCTGATACTTTTCTGTTGTGGCTTCGGGAGTTATGACTACTCATCGAGCGAGGAGAGAGAATTCAATTCCTGTGTGGCCTTCCGCATCTTTTGATCGTGGGAAAGTGGGGAAAGCCGGCGGAATGCTTGTTTGGGCTGGATGGTCAGATTGAGATCTTGTCACCAGATTTGAACCATTTTGAACCCAAATAACAAGAATATGATGCCTAAATTCAAGCGCTGGCATGTCCCACTACGAATTGTGTAAAAGGGTAATTATATAAGAAGCCAATTTAGGTGATGATTCCCCGGAGAGAGACTGCATCATCAACAAGCTTGTCCTTACAACCTCGCAAGACAGCTGGGTAGAGACAAAAAACGTCGTCACATCGTGCTTAAAGAACCTGTCACCTGTTGCTGCCTATGTTGCATCTTCTTGGTCCATCTGCGGGAAGTCTCCTCCGCTTTGATGCCTGGTCACATTTGTAGGCTGTAGGACTGTACGTAACATAAATCAAAGCCACTTCAGTGGCATCGTCTCTTCAATAAATACACCTTGAACTTAGAAAATTACCTCCAACCTAATAGCAATGGCCTCCAACTTAATAGCAACGGCCTCCAACCAAATAGCAATGGCCTCCAACTAGGCTAATAGCAACGGCCTCCAACCTAATAGCAATGTCCTACAACCTAATAGCAATGGCCTCCAACCTAATTGCAATAGCCGCCAACCTATTAGCGATTGCCTCCTCGGACTTAGAAAGCAAGGAGGTGTAATGAGTTGAGCCTTGTTCACATGATGGCCGCCGTTGGCCACATGCGGCCAACCGGCGATTTTTTGCACCGAGATGCTTGGGAGCTTCATGACTACGTTCTTCGACATAGCTGACGAAGGGTTTCATGCACAGGGTCTGCCTGTTGGAAACCCACAGCTGAGCCAAAGGGCAGCAAGGGTGGCAAGTAAGGTTTTCCGGAGATCCCTGTGGCGCGCCTGGGCTGCTATGGGGCTTGATATTTATTTAGCTTCCGTACATGGGCTTCTTCTATGGATGAGTAGACGTGAAGAACAACGCAACCTGATCTTGATTGATCTTGATCTCTTTCATTCCAAATTGTTGACACACACACAGAGACTCTCAGTGTCAACCCCAACTAGGAAACCCGATCAGCCACACAAACGCTTGCTGAAAGTCGGGTTATACTATATAATTGGTGCAAGCGTTTCTCCTAAATTCCTAAATTCATTCTGATGTGAGCGCCCTCACGCTTCTTGACATGCATCCAATGCTCTATTTGTGTGTGAAAATGGTTCGAAACCATGAACATCTATATATGAACAAACGCAAAAGGATCAATTATAGGGGGCCCCGGCCCTCACATCGCTTCTGCAAGTCCTCTGCTTGGAGCCTGGTCAGGAAAATTGGCTTCTCCGACTCAGCGGAGTCGTGCCAAATCCGGACGACGAGGTCGGGCCGGGCCGAGAATGAATCCTTTTCCGAACTGTCCTTCTCGGACCCAAGTTAGCTTGGGGGATCTTGGGGTGATCATTCAGCTTGTGCAGGTTGTTGGTTGTCGGATATCCTTTGAAGATTTGCACATCTCTCTGTGGGCAAACTTGCGGTTCCATGCCTCCAGCTGGTAAACTGTCGTTGAAAACTTCCGTTGCAAATCATTTCCACAATCTTTCGAAGAACACAAGGTTGATGCAACCAATTGCGGCATGGTCTGTATGCAAAAAGTCAAAGAGTCTTGGATTTCCACTCCAGCAACGAACAACCAACTACAAAAGAACTGCCATGGCAAGGGGCATGACGATGAAATCCTGGACGCAATCCAATCTATATTGCTCAGATAGGCTTCATTAAGGTCCACCTAGATTCAGCAACACCGTGCGCTCTTTCAACCAGGATGACACCATCATTAACAAACGCACAGCATAGCGCCCTGAAACAGACTGTTTGAGCTGCGGAAGAACTCCAATTCCAAAGCTCTGTAGTGATCACTCGCTTTGAATTATCACCTCCCCTCAGCTTCGTTGCATGCAACCAGCAAATTCGTGGCCTTCGCTCTTGCAAAACAGCAAGGATGTTCTGTCGCTCTTGCTCCAAGTCTGGTTCCTGCGGTCACGCACTTTTGGAAAGCATTCCTAGTCTATATAATATATATACACAAGTCAGTTCTGAAAGGCGTGCTTCTGTGACAATACTATGGCCGTGGTATTGCTCAGGTGAATCTCTCTATTGCAATGTGCCCTGGGCCCTGCCCAGCTTCCTAACGCTCTTAGGAATTATTCTTGATGGCAGCGTTGCAAGCGACTTGCAATGGAAGATCTTTTCCATCATTGGGTGCGCGCTCTACTGCTACCAGTTACCACTGCAATACATTGTTGACACACCCCAACTCAATTTGATTTGATTCAGCTTCATCCGAAGGCCTCTGTCTCCATCATGTCTTTCAGCTGAGCCTTGGATGTGCAACAGGCAAACAATTCTCTTCTTTGTGCAGCTTTTCTCATTGCCTGAGAAGGAAATGTAGGTAGGCGGAAGCAATTACTGTAGGTTGATTGGATCATGGTCCTACTTGTGAATGCGTAGATCGGGACAAAGCTATTTGCCAAGTTTGGTGCAATTGGAGTTGCACGTGAAAGTGCAAATCTCTCGTTTGTCTCCTTGCTTGTAATTTAGCTGTCTGGGACTAGCAAAGCAACTACGAACCAAAGACGTGAATCGCGTCTATAGCGTGTGGTAGCGCGTGCATCGTGGATCACTTTGTGAAGTCTAGTAGACTGCAAACCGAAGTCTTCACCTTCTGAGACTCGAGTCGATACTCCCAAAACACGACGATTTGCCTCACAAGACCGACTTTTCCTTGAGAAGCCTGACGTTCAGTTTCAGAATAGTTTCGTTGCTCTTCTCGATTTGGTGATTTGCCTGGCAGCTTTGGAGAGAAATCTGCTGTGCAAGTGTGCAAGAACATGGGTCTGCAAAATGGTCCTCTTCTGAAGATTTCCTTCAGTCGCAGTGTTGAGCTGAACCAAATTTCCAACGCACGTTCTCCAATCCCTCTTACTGGGTGTGCTGCATGCTTGCTACCCAGCCAAAAGAACCACAAGGGTCTCCAGGGTTCAGGTATATACTTCTGCCTCTTAGGTTGGAGGCCATCGGTTGGAGGCCTTTGCTATTAGGTTGGAGATGGTTGGAGGCCATACACAAGACCACTCAAGCTTTGCAGGTCAGATGCCTTCCGCTGCGAATCTTGTGTGCTGCCCTCTGAGAATGCTTCAAGGCCGGCCTGTTCGGTGAGTTGCTCCAACTGGAGCCGGAGCTTCTGCTCCTGAAATTGCCATTGCACATAAAAAATGGACAAACACGATATGACGGTATGAATCACCACATTACTTGCGAATCGATGTTGGGCGTGTCTTCAAGCAAACAATCTTTGATGTCCTTTAACTCACCCTCCACGACTACTGTCTGAAACCAATGGGCATGTCCACAACCCTTGCTGAAGGATTGAGTGACACCAACCCAGCAGCAGTTTTTGGTGGTCACTAGGTAAAAACTCTTCGCACCCAAGCGAGATGAGAAGCGTCTTTCGTCCAGAGTAACATCGGATCGATGGACTGGTGTTACTTGCATGATCTGAGTTATTTTTGTTACCTGCCAAGTCGAATTCATGATTACAATGCATACAAGACGTCAGCAGAAGGACAGATATGCAACTCAAAACAAAAAGGTGGGTAGCTGAAAGACAGAGGTTGGATTGTGTCCCACATTCCTCATGCCCACAACTCACCCTAGAAGTACCACAGCGGCGGTTGGATATCGTTTGTTTACACTTGTTGGGTTAGGCGTTGACATCTTCTTCTCAAAACGCTATTATCATGGCCCCACCCCCTGACCAACACCCTGAAGTAAGCATTCGTACTTACGTTTGTCTGCGCATGTTGGGAAGCCATTATCGCACCACCCCACCCTGCCCGGAGTAGTGGATGGGGTAGAAGGTCTTTCATACTGTGGGTATCTAGTGTACCACCCAGGTGCCTCTTTGAGTATGCTCCGGAGTGATAGACCCCTGCGAGCCGAAGTGCTGCAGCTTTACTTTGACTTTAAAAGAACTTCAAAAACGTCTCCGCATGGTGTCCCCGTGCAGTGCATGAAATGCAGTGTGGGTAGCTTCAGCCCCGGCATTCGCACAAAGGACTTATGACTAGATACGCGAGATGGCTCGTTAGTTTCCGCTATGACCTCCTTTGTCTGCATTATGTTGCTGTTGAGGTTGGATTCTCATATCATACGTAGCAAAACTCTATTAGCCCTACAACCCTAACCATTATACCCGCGTTATTCAAGGCTGATTGTGCTTTTATCTTGCGGGTGGAATTGCAATGGCCCCACCCGAATTAAGGTAAAGGTTGCTCGGTTGCTCAAGTATCTACCGTACCGGTAGATCCGGTACTACCTTTCAGTCGTTAGGGCGACTTAACAGCCCCATGCATCCACCTGCTACGAAAGGAAAAACACAAGTGCAAGAGATATCTATTTCTCCAATTTTTCACACACCAACATGACTTTCAAACGCCCGGCTACTTTCCTCAGAAAGGTGGCTCAACGCTACAGGCCTCTGCTGAGGCCAACGCAAACGCGACGATCGGTCGGTCTGACTCCTCCGCGCGGCGATCGCGCGACTCCCCGTTGGCCTCAGCAAGAGCAAGGGAATAGCTCAACGGAAAAGACCAAGGCGCAGAAGTCTATGGAACAATGCGAAAGCTTGAGCTATCCAGCGTCCAGTAGGTAGTAGCTTATCTAGCAGCTTATTTATATAAGCTAAATAGGTGCCTACTGAATTATATAAATAATGGTGAGGTCTACGAAAAAACAACTTCTTGTTTCTCCACATTTCTCTCCCAAGGGTTCGTGGACCAGTGCTTAAATCTTATCATACATCATACACTGTGAATGGCCGCACAGCTTGCGAGACGTTAAGAGGCAACCCCATGGTTTGGGCTTGAGTCGACTCGTCCCTGCCAAAAGACTTGCCTAGAGACCTTGCAAGATCAAGGTCGCAAAGCTCTGCGGTCCTTTTCATCACTGTGCAAACGGGCACGCCGCATTCTCTAAGGCAAAGAGAAGCCCTAGCTAAAATTGGATTTGGTTGAAGGACGTGAGAAAGGATATTGTTCTTATCTGTGTGGTTGGCTTGCAAGAAGGCAATCTCATACTAACAAGTCAATCTTTAGCCCCTATGTGATCTTGGCGTCATTGACCAGTATAGAGAGGGAGACCCTTGCCAGCAAATATGCCGTGGCAATTCGTCTGAGTATCCCTCTTTTGTCCTATGTTCATGCAGGACAAGTGATTTCCTGCCAATCTACATTATCTGTTACTACTTTTTTTCTGAAAGGTCCCTCAAACTTGGTGGGAGGCAAACGAGACTGTATCAAGGGATGCCTCGAGAGAAAGAGCAGCCACAGATGTGTACTCACAATCAGGGCCCTCATAGTACAGCGGAGCCACGCCTTAGTGACTGACACAGAATCCGGAGTCTCCTTACTCAAGGAAATCCATTGGATGCAAAAATACCATCAGGCTTTGGAGACCTGCAAAATACGTCATGAGTTTTGACAGTTTCATTCAATCAGTTGCTTGGTCAATCCCAAAGTCGGGAAGGTTGGGCCAGCAAGATGAGCATCCAACATCCCACATGAGCAACAAAGCTGCTATTGCTGTTTTGATTCTCTTGAAGTACCCATAGGCCCTGGTGCTGCATGCAAAGCTGCTTAGGTTCCATGGTTAGAGTCTAAATTATCATATGTTTTGCACCTCTCTCAAACTGCACACTGCACTGCCAGTCTATCATCTTCCACTAGGTTGTTGACCATACAACTTGATATGCCTTTGGACATATAATTAGACCCTTCAATCACGAAGAGCTAATGCAACATGGGATGTGCAAACATGTTAAGACTCCCCACAGTCCAACGCGACTCCCGCAGACTCCCTAGTCTCTCCAGACTCGCTAGCCGCAGGCGCCGGTGACCGCTGCCGCGCCCGAGCCGTGCCAAATGCAACGGGGCGAAGAGGGAAATCGGTCACTCCGACCGTCCAGCAGCTCCGTTAGGGAAATGTCGCTCCGAGCCACGCGCGCGCCTTGGGAGGAAGTGCAATCGAACATAATTTTTGGGTATTGCAAGGTTCGTTCTTTGGAGGCCCAACATGATGTCTTCTGGCAGAATCTTGGGTGGATTGAGATGGACAATAACGGACAGTGACAATGAGTTGGACTCAAGAATGGAGGCTACAGTTTTCATTTTCGATTCCTTGTTGGATAGTATGTGCGGGAAACTGAGTTGTTTCGATGTATAATTGCTGGTATGGGGAACCCAATATCCTGACTTGTTCGACTGTGCACCCACTCTCTTTCCTCCGAACTCCCCTTTACAATTCTTTGCATCCATTGAACATGCAAGAGAGCATCAAGCAATATCGTGCAGTATCAAGCAATCCAGAGCCGAGTCAAACTGGTGAACATTCACACGACATCTGAACACAGCCGAGTTGCGTGTTGCTTCCACCTGCCTCGAACAAGCGATGTCTGGCGATATTTTGTATCAGCATTTAGCCCCTTGTAGCGTCCTTGTTCCTAGTAGCGATGCCGGGAGCCCCTAGTAGCGTCCTTGCTCCTAGTAGGGGATGGTGAGCCCAAAGTCTGCTCCTAAATCTATCACAAGTAAAGGGCCTGCGCAGTATTGTTTGTTCTGAGTGCGACAGGTAAACCACCAACCTGGTGCTTACACCCGCCATGAGTCTTTGCACGAGTTCGGTGAATTGCGGCACCTCAAACAATATAGCTAGAGAGTCTATTGAACGTCATTCTGATCCATCCACAGTCTTGCGCCTTAGAAGCTTCGCATGGATCTGCTGTGACCTGCTCTCCAACTTGGGCTTCGGCACCTGGTCCGACTCGAGAACCCGGACTCAAGAAGAAACATTGCTTCTAGGTTGGAAGCCCCAGCTATTAGGTTGGAGGCCATTGCTATTAGGTCCTTTTGCCATTCGGTTCCATACATGTTTAAAAACAAGATAACATTGCTATATATTGCTATTCCCTTTTTCGTGTTTTCCGCACCTTGGGTGGCCGGGCCAACCGCCGCATGAGCTCTGCTTCCAAGTCGATGGCCTTGGCACATGATCTTGCTGTTTTGTTTCAAGGTGGATGGTGTGCCATCACCCAAACCGTGGGGTGATGGAGCACACGCCGGGGGCGAAGGAGCCCCTAGTAGCGTCCTTGCTCCTAGTAGTAAGGCCAGGAGCCCCTAGTAGCTTCAAGCCTCAAAGATTTCTTAGATTTCACCTCCCTGAGGTCCCTCACATATTGCGCACCGACATGCTAAGCTGCCTGGTGCAACATGAAGATGATGAGATCTATCCCTAAGGCAAACCGCATGCGACCTCGTATTCCTGGCATCACAACCGTCAAGTGGCTCATGCAATTCAGGCTTCCATCCTTGAAAAGGTTCCCCCAGGTGGAAGTCTGAAAAGGCTAAGTCACATAGGCTGGAGTTTCCATCTCCAGATTTCGGGTTGCCGAGCGGCTGGCCTCGCAAGGATCGAATCACTACCACGACGCATGAGCTGACCGGCTTCTGAATAGTTTTCATGCATACATAATACCAACAAATAAGACATGACAACCTCGGAGCTGCGGCTTAGAGGGTCCGAACTTTATGTCTTCAGAAATTCTCACAACATGTTGAAACATGTTGAACTCCAAACAAACGAGTGACCACTGCAGCTGCTGTTGCAGGTCACCCACAAGTTCTGCCAGCACCTGTGCTATCTATCTCAGCATCATTCCCTGCCGTGTCTTTGACTGGCTTGCAGTTTTGCCTCTCAATCATGCTAGTTGTGATCGATATCACTGTGGGTTGTATGCAAGTATCTGCCGTGTCTCCCATCAATTGCACAACACACCAGCAAACAGTGTCAGTTGCAACACCTAAGGCGGACTCCTTGTCGGACCTAGGGACGCGATTGACCCAATAAATCCTTGAAGAACCTGGACCCAGTGTCAAGTCAACTAACGAACACTCCACAGTTCACAATGACACTAGTGTATCCGAAACTAACCTGACCTCTGCCGCTGCCACCTTGCTTGCCAGGCCCTGCACGAACTGCATTTCCTGAATGCACCAGATTTCCGGTCCGGAAACGCCAAGAACATCAAGAACTACCAAGAACTCCGATGCGGGACTCAAGTGAAACATGTGAGAGTGGATATTTTTGAAACCTGCCTCTCAAATGACGCGAGGGACCTCATGTGCCTGAAGCTTGTCACTGTACACATATGTGAGGTCCCACCAGGTGCGTGACCTTGTAGCTCTCCAACGCGCTCAATAATTTCACCAGGAGCCCCTAGTAGCGTCCTTGCTCCTAGCAGCGATGCCCTTTGCTCCTAGTAGCGTCCATGCTCCTACCCCCCCCCAAGTGTCGTATTCATCTTCACATGGGTCCCACCATCCTACAAGCTTGAAATCCTTGATAGTAGCTTCTCAACTGATCTTTCAATGCCGAGCAGCTGAGGTGGACACCAGCTCTTCATCTCCAACCTTGCCATCGAACACAGTTAGAACTCATCTATGTATAGATATATACACACCAATCAAACAGGAATGTTGGAGAGGCAAGGAATAACAGAATACGATTCTTTCCAAACTGGGCTATGATTCCCGGCTTCCCGGCCAAGAGTCACATCTGTTCAAACCATTGGCACATGAACCCAAACGCACCCACAATATGAGCACTCTCTGCAATCAAAGAGCAAATGGCCCTTGCGCAACTTGATGTCTCCCAGCATTGTCTTTGTGATTCGTGAGCATGGTGCTTGGTGAAGACCGGTCCATGGCAATTGGCATCGACTTCGAACCTGATAAACTTGGCTGTCGTGGGGTTCTTATTGGAGCTGACGACTCGGCAAGAATCGGCCCTGTTTGAGCCCTTCTCACTAACGAAGGCTGGGACAGCTGCGCTGTTTGAGCCCGTGAGGGTTTTCTGCCTGGTTGCCGGTTGTTTGCAAACCGAGCCACCCTTGTGTCAGAGAATGAGCGTGGCTGTGACAGCGGTGCTGCTTTCTCTGAGTGAAGAACTTTGTCGTCTAGAGGAGACGGGAAGTCTGAAGCCGGTGTTGGCTCCGACTGTGCCTGAGCAGGAATTCTCTCTGCTTCCACGAGGCGGCGATGTGGATCCGAAGCAAACATTGCCTCTGCTTTCGCAACCTTCACATCTGATGAGCGTGCAGGCCCCCTATCCCTTTCCACACCCTTCTTTCCTGCAGAAAGAGGCGAGAACGAATCTGCTGATGCCTGAGGCTGGAATTGTGAAGTTGTTTGCCCCGCTTCCACAACCGACCGTGGCAAGTCTATAGCAGGCGTTGCCCTTGCTCCGACAATCCTTCCATCTGATGCGCACGGATCTGACTGCACAGGCACAGGTATTCCATCTGTCCCCGCAACCTTCACATCCGCAGAAAAAGCAAGCAAGTCCGAAGGAGGCATTGCCAGTGTCTGCATCACCTTTTCATCTGATAAACAAAGCTGTGACCGTGCAGGTATTCTATCCGTTTGGACAACCCTCACATCTGTAGAGGGTGATTGCTCCAAATGCGGTGTTGCCTCTGTT